ACACACACACGTAGTCCTAATGTAACATTTTCTTTAGAGAAAATATATTTTACAGCGTATTAGTTTTCTGTTAGCAGCGTCATGTGTACCTCAGACAGAAGGTGCTTGACCCTTCGTCATGGTTGGTTGTTGTGGCTTGTTCTCGGGTGCCTCTTGCCCTGACTCAAGGACAGGTGTTAACTTGATACTAGAGTTAATGATAGATAGTAGACAGGTATGTGTGTTTGGCTTCTCAGTGTATTTTAAGGTAATGATTTTTAAAAAATTATTGCACTCAAGTGTCACTATTTGGGTCCCCCCCTCCGCTCCTCCCACCAGATTTGTAGACCTAATTGAATTGATGGTGTAAGTCCAGGAACTAATTTAATTATTAAAATAACTCTGTTCCTGATCCTGCCAGCAGTTGCTGTAACATGGATTTCCTTTCCTTTCATTTCCAGCCTCATCACTCGGATGCTACAGAGAGACCCCAAGAGAAGGGCCTCCCTAGAAGAGATTGAGAACCATCCTTGGCTCCAGGGAGTGGACCCCTCACCGGCCACGAAGTATAACATCCCCCTCGTGTCGTACAAGAACCTCTCCGAGGAGGAGCACAACAGCATCATCCAGCGCATGGTGCTGGGGGACATCGCGGACCGCGACGCCATCGTGGAGTACGTCTGCACTTCTCAGTATGGGGCTCCCGGGCTTAGAGCGCTTCACCCGTCAGGGCCTCTGAGCACAGCACCACAGATAGACTTCCCGGTTGGCATGCGTTGCATCATTTATTTAGCTGTAACGTTCCAGGCCCGGTGCCTGGCATCCTGGTTTTCTTGTGCTGGTGAGGAAGAGAGCCGTTGCTGGGAGGTGTGGGTGAGCACTGGATCCTTTGTGCATCCCGTAGGTTGAAATACCCTGTGATTGGCCCAGTACACCCCTGCCCATGGCGGTGGCCTCTTAACTTCACATGTCCCGCTAGTTCCCCGAGGTGAGCAGAGCTGGGCAGTACCAGGGCATTAGAGTTCTCTAAACCAAGCATTGGCAGTTGGGACTAGTCTCATGGTTTGGTATGTAAAGTGTTACTGGGCACAGTCACACCTGTTCATTTCTGTACTGTCCATGGCTATGGGCGCAGAGCCTCAAATGGTTGCTGTGAGGTCCTTCAGCACCCACCTCCACACCACAGCCTGTCGCCCCCAGCTGATGGAATTGATTAACCATGTCCTTAACCACCAAAGTCAGGTTTTAATAGCTTGAGAACTTTGAAATCAAGGGTAATAGAGCATAAAGATACAGTTGCTGTTATCTTAATGATTCATTTCTGTGCAAGAGCCTATGAAAAACATGGAACATTTGTACACATGAAAAAGGAAGTTCTTTAACATATGTATGAATACCTAGAATGAAGGAAAGTAGACTGGACCACGGACCTGCTTCCTGTGGGCGGTCACATGCACACCTCACAGGAGGGCTGATCCCTGCAAGGGGGGTGTTTGTATCAAGGACATGTGTCTTGATGGAGCTTTGGATACACCAGAAGAAGGACTTCAAAAGGAAGCCCAATTTCTTAACTCTTCAGTGCAGATGTTTACAAGTTTTCAAGTGTGTCATGATTCGTCCTCACAGCTTGACCCACAGCTGCCGGAATGGCCTCAATGAGCGAGGGAGAACTCCAGGTTAGGGGTGAGCGAGGGAGAGCTCTAGATTAGGGGTGCGTAGGGAGGAATTTGCATTTTTTTAAAAATTTATTTCTTTTTATTATTTGTGTATGTACCGTCAAATCGGATCTGACTGGTATAGGAAGAGATTGTCCCTCCTTCTCCAGCACAGCATCTGGTGGATTCAAAGCATGGACCTCTGGGATTGCGAGTTTGCATTTTTGAGTGGATAAAAACCTGCATCTTTCTGAATTGGCTTAGTGGTTTCTTGGTGTTTTGTTGTGGGTTTTTTTTGTTTTTTTTTTAAAAGTTTGGTTTTGGTGGTAAAATATCTAGACTGAAACCAACGCCGTGTTTATTCTCCTCACCATTCAGTGGAATCTGTTACACCTGTCATGTTTACCACCAGTACCATTTCCAGAACTTCCTCATCCACCCAGGCAGAG